AAAAAAAAAACTTCAGTATTTGTCTCCAAAACCAAAATGAAAAAACAGATAACAATTTGTTTTTTCAGTTTTTGATTTTGTGTTTAAATGAAGAATGGAAAAATCGGACAAAGGGTATTTCTCGTTTGTGTGAATTAAACTGCGACGCTGGACTAAACCAGGACTAAACCTGGACTGAACATGGACTGAACCAGGACTGAACTAAGTCTGGGACCAGACTGGGACTGAGACCAGGACTGAGACCAGGATTGAGACTGGGACCAGACCAGGACCAGACCGTGATTGATACCGGGACCAGACCAGGACCAGACTGTGACTTAGACTGGGACCAGACCTGGACTAAAAATGGTTTAGTCTTGGTTTAGTCCTGTTTTAGTCCTGTCCAGTTGAATATAGCAGCCTTATTTTGAGAAGAGGAGAGCAAGTGAGTAGGAAAAGGAAGGAGGAGGAGAGAGAATTGGACGCGGCCGTAGACTCCAGCAGATTTCCTTTCGTCCTGTTCGGTGGTGACGAGTGTGAGCTTCATGTGACGAGTGTGTGCACATGTGGAAGTGGGTCAGTGTCATTCCCGGCGCAGACTTGCCGCCGTTACCGCGCGACAATCAATGCAATTTTAACAGAAATGTTCGGAAAGCACCAACAAGGGAAATAGGTTTCTGCGACCTCTGACCCCGCTCCTCTGTGCTCTCGGCTCGTCACGTGACCCGGCTGCGGTAATCAGCTGTAAATAGGTTTTTAAAGTTGGAAAACACGTGCAGGATGATGACAGGAGAGAGAAGAAGAGGAGTGGTCCACTGAGAAAACAGCAGGGATCATTATGCTCTCATTATTATGTCCATGTGAATGTTTACGCTGAAGAACGAAAAAACACAAAAGGAATAGACGCATCAAGAATCTCAGACTTCTGGTCATTGTGCAATTCATACTGGGAAGGATTCTCCGAAAAAAGTGAGCATCAAACCCCATGTTTGTTTTCCCAGTGAGATGAATCTATTGTCAAAGTCGATCTTTTCAAGTCTTTTGAACCATATCACTTTTGTTTCTGGTTCTGATATTGTCATATTTTAGTTTTGGGATTCGGACATTGTAAGTGTGTGGTTATTGGAACACAATAACAGCGGAAAACTCCATAAATGCAAAAGGGAATCGGATGTGTGTTACTGTAAACCTCTGTTCAAACTGTTTCTCTTCCCAAAGGAACTGAAAACTAGTGAAAGGTGAAGATGATGGGCAGGATTGATCCACAGGAAGAACCAAAAAGACTGCCCTAAGAAATCATCCTGAGTGTGCAGAGAACATTTTGTATTTTGTTGTATTTATTACGCTGAAAATCATCTTCATAAACCTGACTTTTATTTAGCCTGGAGGAGGGTCTTCTGTAAACCGGGGGGGGGTAAACAGTAAATATCATTGTTTTGACGAGCTGCTCAGACTGGGAAGAGTTTATGTTCTGACTAAACAATGAAAAAGTGAGGCTACTTTACAAAAATGTCATTAAAAAAACACCTCTAAAATAAAAGTAATGCAGCTTTAGTCCATTCATGAGGTCAAATTATAACATTTATTTTGTAATTCCGTCCATCCATCCATTTTCTTTTGCTTATCCGGGTCTGGGTCTTGGGGGCAGAAGTCTAAGCAGGGACTTCCAGACTTCCTTCACCCCAGACACTTCCTCCAGCTCCTCTGGAGGGACCCCAAGTCGTTCCCAGGCCAGTCCAGAGACATAGTCCCTCCAGTGTGTCCTGGGTCTTCCCGGGGCCTCCTCCCGGTGGGACATGAACACCTCCCGAGGGAGACGTCCAGGAGGCATCTGGAACAGATGTCCGAGCCACCTCAACTGCTCCTCTCAATGTGGAGGAGCAGTGGCTCTACTCTGAGCTCCTCCTGTGTGACTGAGCTCCTCACCCTATCTCTAAGGACACTCTGCAGAGGAAACTTATTTTGGCTGCTTGTATCCGCGATCTCATCCTTTCAGTCACATATTTTGTAATTCCAGATTCCAGATCTTAAAATGGGCCGGTCAGAGTCAACCAAAGGGTCGTATGTGGCCCCGGGAGCCGGGCTGTGTCACATTATTAAGGCTTACCCTTTTTTTCCCTGCAGGAAACAAACCTTCCAACCTTAAACTGAATGGACTGAACTGGTGTTTTTTATGAACTCTGAATGAAGAGACGTATTAATACACGGTCTTTAATCACCCACAGAGGCTCTGGTGAACTGCAAGATATTGTAAAAATAAACAAATGTGAATAAGTTTTATGTTTTCAAAACTCTGTCCTGACTCCAAACACAGTCAAATATAAAGTGTTATCCAGACATGATTACAGTCTTCAGAAAACAGCGCCGTCTTTTCAACTTTCACCACAAACTTCCAACAAAACGCCCCAAAAATGTGAAAAATGACACCCTTGTGAAATATGTGTTTGTGCAGAGAAAGGTCTACACAAATAAACCGACTGCATTTGGTCCTGATTTCACCTGTTATAAACTCCTACACACTGTGTATTCTGTTATTTTGAAGTTTTTATATTAAGGAAACACATTGGCCTTTTGCTTTGCCTCGGGCCTGAAATCTGTTACTGAAATCAGAGACACATCGAGAAAGTTGAGGGTCGGAGCAGTTCTGTCTCAGTGTTTTAAATGAACCAAAACAAAAACACACATCCTCTTTCTGAAACTTCTCCCACTTTTGAAGAATCCTCCAGCTCAGTCCTCCTGACCACAATCATGTCGTATAATATCAAAATGCAAATGCTCTGACGCTAAATGTTTAAAATGAGATTTAATTATGTTTATTTCAGTCGTTTGTTGTGTTTTTTGTTAAACCAGGTCTAAACCGGAACTAAGCCAGGACTGAACCAGGACTAAACCAGGACTAAACCAGGTCTGAACCATGACTGAACCAGGAATAAACAAGTACTAAACCAGGACTAAACCAGGACTAAACTGGGACTGAACCATGCCTGAACCAGGTCTGAACCAGGACTGAACCAGATCTAAACCAGGACTAAACCAGGACTGAACCAGGTCTGAACCAGGAACTGAACCAGGACTAAACAGGTACTAAACCAGGACTAAGCCAGAACCAAACCAAAACTAAACCAGGATTAAACTAGGACTAAACCAAGACTAAACCAGGACTGAACCAGGTCTGAACCAGGACTGAACCAGGACTAAACAGGTACTAAACCAGGACTAAGACAGAACCAAACCAAGACTAAACCAGGATTAAACCAGGATTAAACCAGGATTAAACCAGGACTAAACCAGAACAAAATCAGGACTGAACCAGGTCTGAACCAGATCTAAACCAGGACTAAACCAGGACTAAACCAGGACTGAACCAGGTCTGAACCAGGACTAAACCAGGACTAAGCCAGAACCAAACCAAGACTAAATCCAGACTAAACCAGGTCTGAAGCAGAACTAAACCAGGAAAACTCACAAACCCTTTATATAAAACCAATAAGGAGTAAAATTTGACTGAACTAGGTCTAAGAAAAGACTAAACCAGGACTAAACCAGGACTACATCAAGCACAGCAGTAGTAGTTATAGTAGCACTAGTTGTAGTAGTTGTTGTAGTAGTAAATGTAATCCAATTTCATGATTCACAAATAAATCTTGAAAATCTTGACATAATTGTTCAAATTCTTGTGAGAAGAAACGTCACAAAGTTCACGTTTACAATAAAATCTTTATTCATGATCATTTCTTTTACAGACTCTAGTTGAAGATTACAACATTGACATGGCTCTGCAGAAACTCAGAGAGACTCAGGGTCGAACATGGGGAGGCCCACATTATACAAAAATAAAAACTATCCACAAAAAATATAAAACAACAAAACAAAAAAACAACTCAGAAATGTCACGGTACATTCAAATTCATCTGCACAATATAAAAAAGGACCTCATCTTTCAAACACATTGCATTGTTCTTTTCTCTTAAAATACAACATATTTTACATTTTTTTCTGAATAAAAACGGTAATTTGCATAAACTTTGTGAAATATAACGTCGACTTGACACGTTTTCGTAGCACGTTTGAACATGACGCACACAGAACGGCACAGAGACCACACACACGAGTCCAAGTGCGCGACTCAGAACATTCACACGAGCAAAAAATACAAATGTACAAGGTTACAGTGAAGGCACCATCAGGCCCCACGGGAGAAGAACTGTGGTCAAAGGACTAAACCGGGTCTGGGCCGGGACTAATCCGAGTCTAAACCAGGAGTAAACCAGGACTAAACCAGGATTACACCAGGACTGAACCAGGAGTGAACCAGAACTGAACCAGGTCTAAACCACATCTAAACCAGGACTAAACCAGATTTAAACTGGGTCTGAATCAGGTCTGGACCAGGACTGAACCAGGTCTGGACCATGTCTGGATCAGGACTAAATCAGGTCTGGACCAGGACTAAACCAGAACTAAACCAAGACTAAACCAGGTCTGAACTAGGACTAAACCAGGTCTAAACTAGGATTAAACCAGGTCTAAACTAGGACTAAACCAGGTCTGAACTAGGACTAAACCAGGTCTGAACTAGGACTAAACCAGGTCTGAACTAGGACTAAACCAGGTCTAAACTAGGACAAAACCAGGTCTGAACTAGGACTTAACCAGGTCTAAACCAGGACTGAACTAGGACTAAACCAGGATTAAACCAGGACTAAACCAGGACTAAATCAGGTCTGAACTAGGACTAAACCAGGTCTAAACTAGGATTAAACCAGGTCTAAACTAGGACAAAACCAGGTCTGAACTAGGACTTAACCAGGTCTAAACCAGGACTGAACTAGGACTAAACCAGGATTAAACCAGGACTAAACCAGGACTAAATCAGGTCTGAACCAGGACTAAACCAGGTCTGAACTAGGACTGAACCAGGTCTAAACCAGGACTAAACCAGATCTGAACCAGGTCTGGATCAGGACTAAACCAGGACTGAACCAGGTCTGAACCAGGACTAAACCAGGTCTGAACCAGGTCTGGGCCAGGACTAAACCAGGACTAAACCAGCCAATATTTCTAAATATACAAAATAAATCTAAATGAGAAGAGTTTAGTTTTAGCGATGGTCCTTGTTATAGTAGTAGTAGTATTATTAGTAGTATTATAAGCAGTAGTAGTATCAATAACAGTAGTAGTAACAGTAGTAGTAATAGTAGTAGTAGTAGTAATTGACCATAAACCATTGACCATCCTACAGTTTTTCCCCAGGTCTGAATGAGCCTTGTTCAACAGTGTCACAAACAGCAGTAACTTCACAAAAACACCACCTCCTCCTCTACCTCCCCCTCCTCTTCCTCCTCCTCTTCCTCACTTCCTCCATCTTTGTTTTTGTTCCGAGGGTCCAGCCCCTTCACTCAACACAAACAAGTTTCAACGTCTATGAAATGTTTTCTTTAAAATGTGCTTAACGTCAAAAGTACTCCCACAATTCTTATCATCGCCTCCGCTCGGTAAACTTAAAATGAAGTGTGTTTATCTGTCAAAAGCAGGTGTTTTTCCCAGAATGCAACAGTCCTGGTTATCACATTTGTTGTAAATACATATTTTTTTGAATGTCATTTTGTTATTTCTGGAAATCTATCACAACTTGCAACGTAAACAAAAAAAATGGATCAGAAATTTACCACAACACATTCTCATTAACAACACATTTCTTAATACTTTTCACTGAAGGATTTTTGGAATCCATATAAAGCTGCATCATGTAACTTTTCTGGTGCGCGTTCTTGCCACCTGCTCGTCTCCATGGAGATGCGATTGCTTTGCTTGAAATGTTTCCCAGTATGGCACTGAACATATCCGTCGTACATGTAACTGCGAGTGGTTTTATCGCTTAAAGGGCCCGTCTCATGCAAAATAACTCTTTTCACGTTGTATCTTCTGCACATAAACAAGCACAATTTGGGTTTTGGAACATCCATTACACAATAGTTATGAAATCTTACTGATTTGTTGGAGACAGTCACAGACCAGGAACTATGAAAGACCGACTATTACTCATCCCCCCGCCCGTCCTGAGAAAGCACAGGCTCCGCCCTCCAAACGTGACGTAGGCTCTTGAGGCAGAAGTCATAATTGGGCAAACTTGAATCCTATAATAATGTTCGATCAAATGAGGTGGTCATAATCTGTACAGGCGACCACTAAACATCAGTGGTCGTAATGACTGAGGTGTAATCGCCATTTTGTTATCGTGCAGAAGCATTGAAGTCGACTCACTAGAATAAAATGATGCCCTAAGTCTGTTGTTAGTATCAATGTAATATCGTAGGGCTACGCAACGTTTGTCAAACTAAAACAGGTAGAACAAGGGGAATGACACGCATATTGAAATTATATGTCAGATAATCTTCAAAAATAAACGCTGCAGTTTGCTTTTAGTTCTCTTCAGCGGTTTACTAGCAGTAAACTTACAGATCCAGGATCGCCATCACTGGACCCTGGTATCGTGGGAACAGCATCCTTTTCCAAAGTGTCGCTTCTGCTTCGTTGTAAGTCCAGTTTTAAAATAGCCGTAGTTCTTGAAGCAGTCTTCATTGAAGTGTTGCTCACAAACAGAAATATTCTTGGGGACCTTTTTGTCTGTTTTCCCAGAAATAAACTCCAGCCACTTAGCACGCCTTGCTTCTTCTGTCGACATGCCAAATCATTTCGACTTGCCATCGCAGCCAAATAAGTGTATTAAGTGTAATAAGTGTGTCTGAAGCGGAAAATAAAAAAAAAATAAAATGATGCCCTAAGTATGTTGTTAGTATCAAAGTAATATCGTAGGACCATGTAACGTTTGTCAAACTAAAACAGGTAGAAAAAAAGTGACGACACGCTTATCGAAATTATATATTGGATAATCTTAAAAAAAAAACGCTGCAAAGATAAATAACGCAGAACAGTAGACCTGTACGGTGCAGACGCAGGACGGTGTGTGAGTAGGTGGAGGCGGGGCGGAGGTGGTGGAGCGTCATAAGTGTATCTGCCGCGTCATCGTTGTAGCAGCTTTAATTCGTTGTCACTTGGGAGGGTGGCAGAAATACGCTGTAATTTGTTTAAAAAAAAACTCTGAATCAATCTAAAAACCACTTTGGCGACAAATACAAGGCCCACACATCACTCTTAGAAGGTAGAAAGCTCTGAAAAGTTGATTTTGCATGAGATGGGCCCTTTAAACCGACGTGAGCAGATATTCTTGTCTCCATGGCGACAGATATAGCTTCCATCAGAAATCAGAAATGTTACGCAGTGCTCCTTTAATCATCATGAAGATTACACAGCTGTTATTTACTCATTGTGTTTTGATTTTAAAATAGTGCATATGGAAGTCAACAGTGACTTTTGTCCAGAAGACTTTTCGAATTAAAAAACGCAATAGTTGCCAAAATGCTTTAATAATTTACCGGTTTATAAAGTTTCAGAGACAGACTTTGAATAAAATTATAGTTTTTGTTGTCATTAATTACCACGAAGCAAGCTATACTTTTTTTTTTTTGAAAGTCTATCGGAAAAATGAACGAGAAAGTTAATTCGGAACCCATCACTGTTCAGCTCCATTGTAGTAAAATTTCTTTCTTTTTTATAACACAAACTTCAAGAAGATCCTGCTTCTTATAACGCTGTGAGTTAAAGTCATTTGCATGTTCTGCCTGTGTTACTGTAGCTTCCTCCTTCATTCATCCAAAGACATGAACGTAGAGATGAACCGGAGACTCTAATGAACTGGACCGAACGCACGTCTGTCCATAAATTTTCTCGAATTTACTCCAAAAATGAACCAAAAAAATACTATCTTTTTTTATATCTAACCACTTTTTGGTGCAAACTTTTCACTCACTCCTCTCAAAACATCACCTCCTCGCAGCTCCCATAGTCACTTTCAACCGTGCTCCCGCCATCGAAAGTCCTTTGCGTCTGCCCGGTGGCGTGCGGTCTGATCTGGGGTTGCTGGTTCGATCCCGGCACTGGTGTAACTTCAGGATTCTCGGCGTAGGACGGCATGGCCACGCTCAGACGCATGCTCAGACGCTTGTAGCCGGTGGAAACGTTGTCCAGACTGCGTGTGTGGTGTTTGGTCGGGTAGTAGCTGATGGCGGTGTACTCGTTGGGGCACTGGTTGGTGGGCAGAGGGAGGCCGTCGGGACCAAGGAAATCGTCCAGGTTTTGGTTGCTGTAGCAGGGGGGCAGGGGGGCGCGCCGGTCCGTCCGCTCCAGGGGGAAAGGGAAGCCTCCGAAGCGCGTGTTTCGTCTGGAGTCCAGGGTGGAGTCCAGGGTGGAGGTCTGGGTGGAGGGGAGGGGGGAGGTGGAGCGAGGGGAAGGGGAGGAGGTGATGTCGAAAGTGGGGAACTCCTGGACGGTGGGGCGGCCGTAGTAGTCCGGGTCTGCGGGGTACACTGAGAACAAAGAGAGAGAAGAGGTTATTTTATTTTGAAAGAGATGATTGGGAAAAAGTTTGTCTTTAAGCCCCCCCCAAAAATCTTTAATAGAGGCTTTGCACCGTCACATGTCCCCCATGGTAATGGTAACTACGCCGTCATGACACCGGGCACACTATGTCATTGACTTCAGTAACATCGGAGAAACATGGGCAGGTTTTGTTGTGTATTTGGTTGTTCTAGACGCTCTGAAAGGGATAAAACAATTAGTTTCTTCACTGTTCCTCTAGAAATGACTCATCAGGAGCTCAAACAAGGGAATTATCGGAAAAAAGACGGGAATTATGGCTAGAGAACATAAACCGCAAAGAGATTTCCAATGGTACCATCAAGACCCCCGAAGTTTCATCAAGGTATTTGCTATTTAAATTGTTTCATAGATTATTTAATGAAAGAAGCACATTTACTGAACTAAAATGTCATTAATTTATCCAGGAAAACCCGCACTAGTTTACGATTCAACGAACCCACACTGGGCTCCTATGATCAACATGGAGCACGAGTCGAAGAGTCTGTGAGCCAAACCTCGAAAGAATCGGCCATGAAAAGATCCTCGTGAACGTTAGAAAGATCCACTCGCAAAAAGAGATTAATTCTAGAAGACATAGTTGTGGATAAACAAGACAATAAAGAAAACATGGGTCCTACGACGAGTGACATGTTTATATGTGCGTTGGAAGATACAGTTTCTACTGTCACTCACACTGCAAATGTTTTCTTTTTAAATTTTAGTTCAGTAAATGTGCTTCTCTCATTAAATAATCTATGAAACTATTTAAATAGCTAAATACCTTGATGAAAGTGACGTGAGTGTGTCTTGATGGTACCATAGGAAATCTCTTCGCGGTTTATGTTCTCTAGCCATAATTCGTATCTTTTTTTCAATAATTCCCTTGTTTGAGCTCATGATGAGTCATTTCCAGAGGAACAGTGGAGAAACTAATCATTTCATCCCTTTCAGAGCGTCTAGAACAACCAAATACACAACAAAACCTGCCCATGTTTCTCTGATGCTGCTGAAGTCAGTGACATAGTGTGCCCGGTGTCATGGTGGCGTAGGTACCGTTACCATGGGGACACGTGACGGTGCAAAGCCTCTATACTAGATTGTGGTTGTTACAATATCAGTGCTTAATGAGAACCTTTGTCACTCTGTTAAATGACGTCAATGGGCCCCTGACATTACAGATATTTGTAATAAATGTGCAAATGATAAGGGCACTTTGAGACTGCTGGAAAGTTCAGAACTGTTGGAAATCACTGATTCATACCATTTCCACTACAGTTGGTATAGAGCAGGGGTCTCCAACATTTTCCCTCCTGTGAGCTACTTTTTGTAAAACGAAAATGCCAGAGAGCTACTCATTTTAGCAGTTGATAGAAATGTTGTAAATATTAGAGCCATGGTAAGCCGAAGATGAGGTACAGTTAGACGTCTACAAAACATAACCCAGTTATCTAATTATCAGTGCACAAAATGAGGCATGAAAATGACACTTTTACAAAGAAAATACACATTTAATCAATCAAAAAACCAGGACTGAGACCAGGACCAGGCCAGAACTAAGAACAGGACTAAGAATGGGACCAGACCAGGACCAGACCAGTACCAAGACCAAGACTGAGACCAGGGACTTTTTAGTTTAGTTTAGTCTTGGTTTAGTCCTGGTTTAGTCCTGGTTTAGTCTTGGTTTAGTCCTGGTTTAGTCTTGGTTTAGTCTTGGTTTAGTCCTGGTTTAGTCCTGGTTTAGTCTTGGTTTAGTCTTGGTTTAGTCCTGGTTTAGTCTTGGTTTGGTCCTGGTTTAGTTCTGGTTTAGTCCTGGTTTAGTCTTGGTTTGGTCCTGGTTTAGTTCTGGTTTAGTCCTGGTTTAGTCTTGGTTTGGTCCTGGTTTAGTTCTGGTTTAGTCCTGGTTTAGTCCTGGTTTAGTCCGGCATCTCAGTTTAAATCACGGAAACGAAAAATGGCCGTTTTTTTCATTCTTCATTTAAACACAAAATCAAAAACTGAAAAAATTACTCATTATCTGTTTTTTTCATTTTGATTTTGGAGACAAATAATGAAGAAAATTTATTTATTTTTTGAATAAACGAATGATACACGGATTGAGTGGAGATGCAGACAGACTACTAATAAAAAGATTATTCAAACATGTGTGAATGAAACTATTTATTTATTTTTATTTTTTTATTTATTTTGTACTTGTGAAAACGTGGGTGTTAGCGAAGTCATGTGTGACCATCTTGCCTCCAAAATAATAATAATAATAATTAATAAAATGAATAAATAACAAAAAACCTTGAAAATGTTTATGCAAATCAGTTAAACCCCGCCCACTAAACCTTCAGTCCTTCAGCAGATTGTGATGAACGCTGGGGGTTTGATTGGCGGTTTTATCCGTGCTTTTCTAGGTAGAGTGGGTGGGATCAGAGCCAGAGGGGGCGGAGTTCGGGCAAGAGGAGGCGGGGTTTATCGGTCTGACTTTGAACTGAACCTGGAGACTTTGAAATGGAGTGTGTGAGAGTTTGGGAGGATTAGAGGCAGAGGTGTGATCAGACTCGTGCTGCTTCAGTGTGGACCTGACTGAGAGAAGCAAATGACACTTTAGAGGATTTAGGATCATTCAATTAATTCTAAAAGTTTGAAGAACACAAAGTTTGAAAGGCACCTGAGTACTACTACTTATACTACTCCTAACAGATATTACTACTTTCAATGCTACTAATACTTCTACTGCATCTACTGGTACCATCACCACCACCACCACTACTACTACTACTACTACTACTACTGCTACTGATATGCTACAACTACTATTATTAATACTAATACTGCTACTGCTACTACTAGACTAGTACTACTACTGTTACTGCTACTACTACTGCTGCTGCTACTACTAGTACTACTACTGTTATTCCTACTGCTGCTACTTCTACTACTACTGTTACTACTGCTAGAACTATTACTACTGTTACTACTACTACTACTACTACTGCTACTACTGCTACTACTACTACTACTACTACTGCTACTACTACTACTACTACTACTACTACTACTACTACTACTGCTACTACTACTACTACTACTACTACTACTGCTACTACTACTACTACTACTACTACTACTACTACTACTACTACTACTGCTACTACTGCTACTACTAGTACTACTAGTACTACTAGTGTAACAGCAGTAGTAGCAACAGTAGTACTACTACTGTTACTACTACTGCTACTACTGCTATGACTACTACTGTTGCTAATAGTACTACTACTGTTACTACTACTACTACTACTACTACTACTACTGCTACTGATAGCCTATGCTACAACTACTATTATAAATACTACTACTACTACTACTACTACTACACTAGTACTACTACTGTTACTGCTACTATTACTACTACTACTACTACTACTACTACTACTACTACTACTACTACTACTACTACTACTACTACTACTACTACTGCTGCTACTGGTGCTACTACTACTAGTACTACTACTGTTACTACTACTGTTGCTACTAGTACTACTACTGGTACTACTACTGTACTACTAGTACTACTGCTACAACTATTGCTACTACTACTGCTGTTATTACTATTACTACTACTATTGATACTACATCCACCACCACCACTACTACTACTATTCTTTCTGTTACTGCAGCCGATCATACTACTAGAAAACTACAACAATAGAAGCAGTAATAGTACTAGTGCTACTGCAACTGCTACTGCTACTCCTGTTACTACTGTGACTTCATTTCTTTATATATACTCATAGATAAATTTGTCCTCCAGACTGAGCTCTCCTTCAGCCCCTCTTAGGACGAGTGAGTGAGCGTGTGCAGGGTCACGAGGGGGACGACTTACCGCTGCGGTTTGGATTGAAGCTGCTCTTTTAAACACAGGGAGAACATGCAAACTCCACAGAAGAGGACTTTTAACAACAGGAGAGAAAGTAGCACTGTGGTTTAAGCATTTACCCCTGAACTACTGTATAGCACCAACTTTTAAAGGGCCCATCTCATGCAAAGTATCTCTTTTCACATTGTATCTTTTGCACATAAACAAGCACAATTTGAGTTTTGGAACATCCATTACACAATAGTTATCAAATCTTACTGATTTCTAGGAGGGAGTCACAGATCAGGAACTATGAAAGGCCGACTATTACTCATCCCCCCGCCCGTCCTGAGAAAGCACAGGCTCCGCCCTCCAAACGTGATGTAGGCTCTGAGTGAGCCGCCCTTCGCCCATCTCAGGGAGGGAGGGGGAGACAGAAGCAGAATTGGGCAAACTTGAATCTTATAATAATGTTCGATCAAATGAGGTGGTCATAATCTGTCCATTTTGTTATCGTGCAGAAGCATTGAAGTCAACTCACTAGAAAAAATGATGTCCTAAGTCTGTTGTTAGTATCAATGTAATATCGTAGGGCTACGCAACGTTTGTCAAACTAAAACAGGTAGAACAAGGGGAATGACACGCATATTGAAATTATATGTCGGATAATCTTTAAAAATAAACGCTGCAGTTTGCTTTTAGTTCTGTTCAGCGGTTTACTAGCAGTAAACTTACAGATCCAGGATCACCATCACTGGACCCTGGTATCGTGGGAACAGCATCCTTTTCCAAAGTGTCGCTTCTGCTTCGTTGTAAGTCCAGTTTTAAAATAGCCGTAGTTCTCGAAGCAGTCTTCATTGAAGTGTTGCTCGCAAACAAAAATATTCTTGGGGACCTTTTTGTCTGTGTTCCCAGAAATAAACTCCAGCCACTTAGTACGCCTTGCTTCTTCTGTCGACATGCCAAATCATTTCGACTTGCCATCGCAGCCAAATACACACTTTCTCCATGAGGACATGGTTACAAAAAATGTGTTTGAAGTGAAAAATAAAGATAAATAACGCAGAAAAGCAGACGTGTACGGTGCAGATGCAGGACTGTGTG